TACGTTATAACGTATAATTTATCACATAACGCATGTTTTCTGACATAAGATAACTACATAGTTACCTGGTAATCATTATCATAACTACAACATGTTATCATGTATAATGAATATTCATGAAGTACCTAACTTAAAACTATTAACTTCACATAAATAATAACCTCCTCCTTTTTTGAAGTCGGTTAAAAATAAAAACCAGTCGCATCAACCACGTTGGCTCGCACGTAGCTGTGTGAGAATACCTTTACAATAAAGATCTTCGTGTTTTGCCTTTAAATAAAGCAAACTTTTTTGACTTTTGAAAATTACTTTTCCAAAAGGCGGTGTGAAATATCCTGGAGCATAATACAATTTTCATCTTCAGTTTACAGTGAGGGAGCTCTGCAAAATTGCATTAATTCTCCCCCTTTCCACAAGAAAGGGGAGTCAGTAGAGTCATTTAAAGTCCGGCTACGGCCAACCAGCAGCGATACAAAAGGTCGATACGACTGTTGAGTTGACAATATATTCTGTCTCTTCCCATCTTGTGTATTTGCCGTAATGTCGCTTTCTCCCGCCAAAATATGTCAAAGTCAGACGGGTTCACCCATGACATTGGGATTGTTTACATTTGGTATCGCTTCTCGTTGGCCGTAGCTTATGTTATAGTTCTTGCAACTCACAAAGGCGAGTGAGCTTTACTTGTGAGTGTACGTTTACATGCACATAACTGTAGTGTAATGTATATCAAAACTTTTGAATAACGGACAATAGCGAGCCACCACACATGTAAAGCTCACTCGCTTTCGTGAATTGCAACAACTGTTACTTTCTCTTTTTAAACATTAGTGGAAATCAAGTCTAACTCAAGTTTTAAGATAGATTATTTGTTATTTGCAGAGAAAAAAGTAGGTTTGTGCATTGAATGCCCTACAATACAATCGCCTACCTAATATAGCTGCTGCTCTCGGATTTTTTTATTCTACTAATATTATATGTATGTGAAAGTTTGTGAGAATGTTTGTTCTCTTACGCAAAAACTGCTGAACGGATTTTGATGAAACTTTACATAGTAGGCTATAATTTCATATACATATAAATAACATCCACTAAATTTACTTGTTGTTGCAATCACGAAGGCTCGCTACTGTTCGTTTTTCATGATAGACATTACACTACCGTTATGTGCATGTACAGGTACACACACAAGTAATTAAAGCTCATTCGCCTTCGTGAGTTGCAATGCAAAAACTATATCAGAGGTGGAATTGTGTAAAGCAATCGTAATCAATTGACAGTTCATAACGTACGATAAAGTCAGATATACAAAGCGTTTGACAGAATAATCATACGTTATGAACTGTCAAATGATTACGATTGCTTTACACAATTATTCCACCACAGAAGTGAACCCTCTACAACTGAGCCCACTGTATGACTCTGTGTTATGTTGCCGAGGGGTCCCGAGTTCGATCCCGGTATGTTTATTGTGGAAACAGAGCCGACCTTGTTCCAGCTTTCGCTTAAGGTGCCCTACGCAAGGTCTCGCTTAATTGTGAATACAATGTAGTCAACTTGTCAAATTTCGGTAACGTTGTATTACATACTGAGTTATACCACAGAATAATAATAAGTACTACGTACAGAAGTTTTACTTCGCAAAGGTATTTAAAAAAATGTATGCTCAATGTCATTAACAATATGGTGTAATTTAGCCTGTCTCAAGAGTCAAGCACCATTTTGTTGACAAACGTCAGTGATCGGCACTGCGCCGAAGCTATAGGGCTGACTTCGGTAAAATGATGTGACGTGAGGTGCCAAACTGCGGAAAATGGCGGAGGAAATACATGATTTAGCATGAATTATCATGAATAATATTAACTACTTATTTATCTCTCAGTGTCTTGAGGCAACTTAAAAAAGTACATTCTGTGTTTTTATTATTATTTAGGCAGTTAAATACTGCACAGTATTTAGTACACCATTTTCTTTATTTTCTTCCATCATACACAAGAATACGCGTGCGTGAGTCAATGTTCGCTCGTATGTGAGGCCTTGTCGAATAGTATCCTGTAGGTGGGCCATCGTGCGTGTTTTGTTTTCGATGTAAGCTCGCGGAGATGAACAGGCCTGGTTATACCAACAAGTTTTGTTCGACATAAACAGGGTATAAAGTTCTGTAGGAGTCAACCGGAAGACTCTTGGCCGGATTGTTCTGTGTATATTTGAATTACACTCGAAAACCTTATAGAGTAAGAGCTAGTGAACGCCAGACCTACGTCATTTTATAAAAGCTGAAAGTTTGTCAGCGTATGCTCCCAATATAGGATATAATGTTGGTGAATTATGAAGTTTGGGTCATCGTGGCTTTGTGAGCTACCCTAAAAAACTGTCTGGCAAGGAGTTGGAACTGTCAAAACTGTCTGGCTGCTGGGGAAAATACTTCTAATTATTGTCCAAATATTATACACAAAAATCAGATTTAATGGTATAACGTTAGTAGAATTACTGTCTATTGAATATAAAGAAAAAGCCACCGTAAAAGTTAGACTTTTTTAGTTAGTTTTTATTCTTAGGTTTATAGAATTCCCGACAATATTATAATGATTTATGGTGTAGTGGTTATAGTTTAACTAGACTTTATTGAGATGAAACATATAGTCACTATTCTAGGTATGAAACTTAAGATCAGTTTATAAATCCCTTAAAAAAGTATGATTTTATACGCTCTACAATACCAAAGTAATCCCAGAACTAAATACTTAGGTCTATTTATATTATTTATAAAAAGAAAAAAGCCTTTTATTCACACAATGGACTAAAAAAGCCATAAATCATGAAATCATCAATCACAATAATAACAGAAAGATACCGAATTAACTTCTTACTCTACCTTTAAAGGGCAATTTGTAGACCATTTATGTTATCTAAGGGCTTTTAGGGCCAAATCAAACGTGTACATCCATTTTTCTCAACTCTCAACTCGATAATAGTATCGATATGGCTCCAATGTGTCGATAGAGACATTGAATCGATAAATGTATTAAAACACTTGCATCGAGTGTGGTTTTAAACCAGGGTTCGAAATTATCAAGATAATTACGCTTCGTGATAATTATCGGATAATTATCAACAGTATAAGATACATTTTGTCAAATTGTTTTAAAAGAAATATTACTTTATGTTTTTAGTTGCTGATTATTGTTAAGTTATCCATCGCTAGTCGCATAATGCTTGGAAAATAGATAAATATTTTGACGCTAGATAAGTAGTGATAATTTTGGAGCTAAAAAGATAGGTTTTTTGATTAACGCCGACCACTAGACGTACTCGTAAGTGCTGAAATACACGTTCGATAACTTCGAATACAGTTCATTTTCACGAGCGCATTTTTTTTGTTTTTATCATGATAATTATCTTGATAATTATCATTGATAATTATCATTTCGAACCCTGTTTTAAACTAAAGTAAATCGCTAATCGGGAATGCCAAAAGCAGCATTTATAACTAGTCAAAGTTTGCTATTTGTTTGTCTAAAGTATGGCCTGTTTCACTACTTACTGATAAAGTCCCTGATAACTTATCAGGAACTGGAAATCTGTCAGATATAACATACATTTTTGTTTTACGGGTATTGGATACAGTCATCTGGCAAATACAGTCACAAGTAAACAGCAACCTGATTTTATGTGTCAGATAAATTATCTGACACTTTATCAGGAACCGGTAAAAGTAGCCCTTATGCAACTATCTCGCCAATAATAGATAAACCCAGAGCCCTTCAGGGCCCTCTAATGGATAAGGATTGTGTTTATTGTAACTTTTCGTTTAACCTTTATGTAACCTTTTAGGAAATGCTTGCTACTCACATATTTATGATAATAGATTACACGTTGTGAGTGACGTATTTCCATATAAAATGTATGAAAACAATCACATGTAATTACCTAACCCCAAACGTGTTATTTATTATTCGGTGTCTAAACTTAGAAAAGCTTTTAAGGCTCTATATCTAGACACGCGTGTTGTCGCCAAGTTCAAGTATAACATTCTTAAATAACACGACGCTTGCTTACACCATAAAATCCCCTTGAACATATCTACTTCACCATTATCTCTGCAGCTCACTGGTCACAGCAGTCACCGTTCATGGTGTTGCTGGCAGTTTGGCCAGCAATCCTTTTTTGATGTTATTTATGTTTTTTTTACTATTTTTAATATTGTTTTTGGTTTTGAAGTGGCTTTTTTACTGTCTCTTGGGCGGTCTAGTTTTATGTCCTGATCAATATACTGTTTTGGCCCTTTTTGGAGTGTTTCCTTCTTTGCTTCTTGCATATTAATCACCACCAGCAGGCCTATCTCTCAGAAATATACAGTCCACTCCATCGCCCATTAAGACATGGGTTCAAGTCCCAACAGAGGCAGTCAAATAAAAAATATAATACAGGAAGATTTTGCAAACAGACAAAAGTCTGCAAACAGAAAATTTAGGTAGCATTTAACCCTTGCACAAGTGTGTGGTCCTATGAATCTAGATATCCCTTTATTTGTCTGACCCTTCGGCCTGTATTTGTGTATCTTGTTGGTTGTCCTAAATAAAGAAATAAAATAGGCCATTTTCACATGTGTTGGTGTGCGTGTGTTTGACAAGCCCATTCAAGTAATCGTTAACTCAATGGTATAGCAAACAGCGATAGGTTTTTGTTGCAAAATATCACGTATTACAACTTAATACGATGTATTTTAAAATGTACTGGTTGGTCTACCTACGAATGCCAAAGTTTAGCCAGAAAGTAGATAGTAACAGTAGAAAATCAACTGTATGTACTTAATTTTGCATACGCACACCGACGCATCTCAAGTGGGTGACATTCGCGCTCACACTGGTTTAGACTGGTTTGCTATTATTTCGATGCGATATCGTGTCTGTGAGCGTGGTCTATGTATGCTTTGCCCGAGCGTAGATTGTCTTCTGCTCCTATCTATTTTCTAATTTAGCAGTGGTTTTTGTTTGTTTCAGTCCTTCCAAGTCAACCATTCTTCTTGGACGAAGTCGGAAACAAGGTGCAGGACAGAATCGGGCCTTACCACGAAGGAGATACCTTGGTGCTCAGCTGTCTGGTCATAGGAGGTGAGCATACGTCTCATTGTTATATTCGTTCGTTTCAGCCAAATGACGTCCACTGCTGGACAAAGGCCTCCCCCAAGGATTTCGACATCGACCGGTCCTGCGCCGCCCGCATCCAGGCATCAGGTGAGGGTCGCGGGAGGTGCCTGGATTCTTATATTAATTAGATATATTCAAAATCTTATCCGAAAAGCTGAAGTGGCAATGGGCAGGGCACATAGTACGCAGAACTGACGTCCGATAGGGCAGCAAGGTTCTGGAGTGGAGGCCAAGTACCGGAAAACGCAGCGTGAGACGTCCACCTACAAGGTGGACCGCGACCTGATAAAGGTAGCAGGAAGGCGCTGGATGCAGGCCGCTACCAACCGTGCGATGTGGAAGTCATTGGGGGAGGCCTATGTTCAGCAGTGGACGTCCTATGGCTGAAATGATGATGATGATGATGATTCAAAATCTTACTCAATATGTTTATTGCTTCCTTAATAGTACTTAAGTCACTTCCGTGATTCGGTAATATGTATTTTTATATTTAGTTTTCAATACATTTATGTTTAAATCTTACCCCGCAGAAAGTTTGGAGCATCACAATTTGAATTATTACTCAGTGTTAGATTCCAACTAAATAATTTGTTATTTTGGATTAAAATATCTCTAAATTAATCCCCTCAAAGTTCTTACTTCAATGTTAATCCTAAAATAGGATACAAAAAATAGGTTTAGTATTTTAGTCCATTACTACGTTTGTATTTTGTTAAGATCTGTCTAAATATAAACTTTAGCTTTTAAGCCCATTCTATTAATGGACTAAAAGTCTAGTCACCTTTTTGTTAAGAAAAAAGATCTCAGAGCTGAAAAGCTGAATACAAAATCACAAAAGTAATAAGCATTAAAGTATTAAAGATTAAAATATTGAAATATGAGAACATAATGCTACACGAGTTACAATATTATTAATGTGCGATTCTCTGTGACATAAAGTTGATTAATTAAAGTAACAAAAAGTAATTAAATAATTACTTACCTGGCATAACAATTAATATGACTTTTCTTCTTCTATAAATTGTCTACATTAACTTTGAACGGTCGTCTGGTAAGATGATCATACTTATGAAGACACTCCTACAACTTTTTAAATCAATTCCTAAAAAAAAATTCCGCGATACTTGGCGATCTTGTAGCCTTAAAACTAGAACTACTAATAAAGAAAGAATTGAGTAAAGCAAATGACAGAACAAAAAATGGCGGTATTTATTCTTATTTCGATTAAATTAATGCCTAATTGACAGTGACTGGTTAAACCTTCGTTAACCTAGTAAAAAATCCCCCAGGTCGACCGCCGCCCCGGATCAGCTGGTACTCTGGGAAGACCCTGGTAGACGCATCTGACGGCGCCAGCGACATCCCAACAGTGAGGGAGAACGAGCTATACCTCCCTCTCACTCGGGACAACGCAGCTGAGCTGACCTGCCGAGCTTCGAACACGCACCTCCGCCCACCCATCGAAGCCAGTTTGGACATTGAGCTTTATCGTAAGTTTTTATTTTTTTTTAACAACTAGCGGCCGCCCGCGACTTCGTACCCGTGGACCCCGTTTTACCCCTTAGGGGTGGAGTTTTGTAAAATCCGTTCTTAGTGAGCATCTAAGTTCTAAAAGAAACCCCCATGCAAAATTTGAGACTCCTAGCACTTGTAGTTTCTGAGATTTCGTGATGAGTGAGTAAGTCAGTCAGTTAGTTAGTCAGTGACCTTCCGCTTTTATAATAATTAGATAGATTGACAGCACATAAGATTTCACATGTTCATGGCAAAATAAGACCTTATCACAAGTAAATAAAATGCCACAGTGTTAAGCTTGGTGTGCCGTTGTCGTACATTCCTCTGCAATACCTTCACTCGATAGTGAAGTAAAGCGATCTTTAAAGATGGCATATCATTGTTTTTCTAAATAACTATTTAGTGTCTCCAGCAGATCAACCTACCTGAAGGTGCAGGCTTCTGACATGACATTTATATGAATGTAATAAGCTTGAAGAATTTAAGGATTAGAAATAGCAGAGTTGCGATTAATCTCGATGCTGCCAAAAACTTTTCATTTAATCTCGAAAACTAACTACTACCTACAAGTGGCTTGCAATACTGTTATTTCCAGATAGGCAATATGTTTACTTGCTAATGAAACAACCAATTTTCATCAATTAAACTCCATTTGCAAGCACGACCTAAGACCGATGTCCTGAAGTGCCGAATTTCGAACTCCATTTGCAAGTAGGGTTGCCAGGTGTCCGGCTGTAGCCGGACATGTTTGGTTTTTTACGGTCTTGTCCGGCCAAATATTGTCTAGTTCGGCCTGTCCGGCTTTTTTAAGGCTTTTCATGTGGCTGCCGCGCCAGGCGAAAGTCGAGCTACAGATTAATATATCAAGCGCACGCGTCAGGATGTTGAGCAACCGATGATCATAGTACTCAATTGTGAGCTGAGCTATGACGCTAATTGTACCCCCCCCCCCCTGACATGTCCGGCTTTAGGGTAAAATGTCCGGCCAAATGAAGCACAGAGTCCGGCTTTTGTGTTTTTGGACCTGGCAACCCTATTTGCAAGGCAAGCACTACCTAAAGTACGGGTAAAGTACGGAAGTCCTATAGTGCCGAATTGTTCCCCTCTAATCAAGTCAAATCAATCAATCACAAGTTCACTAATCTATCAGTCAGTCTCACTGTTTCGATAAACATGACAGCTACCGATTGGCTTCTAGCCTTTATAGGCTGCGGTCGGGGTCTCGGGTTCAATTTCCTGCGTTGAATAAGTTTTATGATGATGCAGAGAGGGTAGACGGAGCTATTCCAAGGGTGTTTGGGGATCAGGAAACCGAATCTTCATGATGCGATCTTGATGTAAAATATGGGTCGGTAAAAACTTGAGGCCGATTTATGTTTCAGCCGAAAAACGAAAATACTGCGTGAGGCAGTTTTGGAATTCATGTGTAAAAGACCCACAACATAAAGTATGCAACTAAGCAAGCTTCAGAATAAAAATTGTGTCACATAAAACGTGTACTTTTTTTGCGAATAAACTTCGTTTTATTGGTCTCTACAATAACAGTGTTAGTTGGTACAACTGCTAGCCTTTCTATACATCTGCTCCACGCATCATTCGCAATCACCTAAATAAGTTTCGTATTTTAGTAAGCAATATCTAACATCCTGTTCTCTATAAATATTATTCTAATCTTCCACCCCAGAATACATGCCACGTATAAATTAAGAAAAGAAATATCGAGGCTAGATAATATATCTAATCGAACAGAGACAGTACACAATCCACCTTGTATCACATAAAAGAAAATGAATGACACTTATTGCCTCTAGTCTAGTGTGATACAGTCAGAGAGCGTACAAAAAGGACTGCGACACGCCAGTTAGGTTCTGTTTTTGCGAAATACACAGTCGCTCACTCGCCGAATTAGACGTGGTACGTCATTCTAGATTAGTTTATCAATGTCAAGTAATGTAATATACAGGGTGTCTTAAGTTAATTAGTGAACTTTCTGAAATCGTGAAAAGACAATTCTGTAACACTATGTGTAAATGTGTGGCAATTTAGGTACCTAGTAGGCCAGTTTGGTGATCATCTGGTCTGGTAGTTCGCGTACCAGATTACTCGGTTCTCGGATGGATCATCATCATCATTTCAGCCATAGGACGTCCACTGCTGAACATATGCCTCCTTCAATGACTTCCACAATGACCGGTTAGTGGCGGCCTGCATCCAGCGCCTTCCTGCTACCTTTCTCAGTTGGATATCATGTTTAAAACTTAATTTAGGACGTTCATTTACTCAAAGGACTGAAGACCTCTAAAGATTAGGTCGCTGAGACTGGATAAAAAAGGGATCATTGTGGTTGTTAAAAGGGTCGCTTAGATTCAATTCAACAATGAACTGAAATTCTGATTCTGCCTTCTCAGCTAAAGCAGTAAAAAGATGTGGGAATCGTCCTTTAAAAAACATGGCTACCCCACCCCAGTCTGTTGCCACTCACGCATTAAAAGAATTGAGGGAACGTTGTTACAACGAAGAATGAATTTCTTGGAACAATCTTCGGGGCTTCGCCGTTGTGTATTAATTCTGATATCAATATCGCCATGAAAAAGAAATACGTTTTAATATGCAGCGAGACCAAATGAAAAGTAAAGAGTAAGGATAGACGCCTCGAGAATTCCCGCGGGAACATTTTGTGCTCAGAAAATGAAATACAAAAGACTATTATCTCTTGAATCCGGTCTTTACTTTAGAGAAATAATGTGAAAATGTATTATTAACTATGGAGTAGTTTTTGAACGTGTTTTATGTAGATACATCTCTATTCTAGTACATACCTCTGTCGGCGCTCTNATGAAAAATAAAATTATGAAGAGAGATTATTATGAACACAAATCGGTAGTAAGACAAAGAATAGGATTTAGAATTTTATGTGAGCCAATATAGAACCTTAATGAAGATCATTCATAATTTATCCGTAGATCTACTAATATAGACCCAATAATTAATATAAAGATAAAATATTGTCGGCGCTCTATACTCGGGTAGCAAGGTTCGTAGGTTTTTAAAAATAAAAGTTCATATAGACTGGTAAGACGGTAACTATATTGTGTAAGCGCGAGGATGGGCCTTCGAGGCGTCCGACCGGTACGGAGGTTGCGTACTGACTGACTAAACTAAACATTGGTTTTTCTCTCGACGGTCGGCGGCCTTTTCAGGTAACAATCGTAAAACAAAGTGAAAATAACACGAAGATACTAACAAAACAATTAGCATGAAATACATGGCAAAGGTTGGCACAAACATAATACAAAGTAAACAACAAACAATAGAAAGACATTACAAAGGTTGGTGTTGCTTGATACACAGACACCTGCAATAATTGCATAGATCAACAATGGACCATGTGTTACATCGGCAAAACACTACAAAGATTTGAGTTAAACATTCCGACAGTAAAATCCTAAAATTGCAGGTGCGTGAGAAACTAAAATTACCATGCTCTAAAATTAACACGCTAGAACTACCAAAGCATTTACATCTTAAGTTTGTACGAGAAGTATTACAATTAAGTATATTTTAATCAATTGGTATGAGGCGTAAGTGGGACGTAGTCGCCACAGTACCCCCCTACCAGTGATTTAGATCACGAGAACAAAAACAGCAATCGCGATAAGTAAGCTACAAGTGATCTAAATAACAAATTAACAAAATTACAAAAAAGAAGATATAATTACGCTAACACAAGCCTGCTTGGTAGTAGTCTGGAAAACGAACGCGTCTACCAGAACGGCGAGGGAAGTCACGTCCGTCAGAGGCAGGCGGTAAAGCTGCAGGTGGAGAACCTGAACTAACATTAGAACCTGTAGTTTGACCTAGACCACTTTCAAGAGTTACCTCCAATGGTATACTGCTGTCAGGATGGTTGTTTGGATGGTGTTCTGCATCTCTCAGAATATAGGCAGGTTTCAGTCTTTCGATCGATACCGTGACTTCGCGTCCACGTATATCGAGTACGAACGTTTTGTTTGTCCTGCTTATTACCTTATATGGCCCTTCGTAGGGTTGTTGCAGAGGAGCTTTAACAGCGTCATTCCTTACAAATACATGACTGGACGACAGCAAATCTTTGAAACAGAAAGTACTCTTAATGCCATGGCGCGTGCCGTCGATTGGCTGTAACTTATTAAACTGCTGTCGTAGATGGTTGACGTAATCGCTAGGCACTGGGTTGGGCGTAACACTCTTACATAAAAACTCACCTGGGAGGCGCAAGCTCTGTCCGTATAGAAGTTCAGCAGATGTAGCTTGTAAATCCTCCTTCCAGGATGCCCTAATGCCTAACAATACTGTTGGTAATACCCGCGTCCAACTCTCGTCAGCTGAGGTATGACACTTAATTGCGCTCTTAAGTTGCCGATGAAAGCGTTCTACCATACCATTTGAAGACGGATGATAAGCAGTGGTGCGTAGGTGGTTCGAACCTAGTAGAGCGTTTAGATCTCTAAATAGGTGCGACTCAAACTGCCTGCCTTGGTCCGTTGTGATTCTGCTTGGAATGCCGAAACGTGCAATCCAATTCGAATAGAACGCGCGTGCTACTGTTTCTGCCTCTTGGTTGGGTATCGGTATCGCCTCAGGCCATCTTGAAAAGCGGTCGACGCACGTGAGACAGTATCGATATCCCTCAGAGTAAGGCATAACGATAATGTCCAAATGAACGTGGTCAAACCGAGAAGATGGTGGTGCGAAAGTGCCAGGAAGAGTGATAACGTGTCGCGACACTTTGGAACGCTGGCAACCCAAGCACGCTCTCGTCCACTTTTTGCAGTCAGAATTCATTGAGGGCCACACGAATCGTTGTGAAACGAGTTTCGTCGTTGCACGTGCCCCGGGGTGTGAATTCTGATGAAGTATGTTAAACGCTACCTTTCTGAAAGGCTCTGTAAGGTAGGGTCTGGCGCGTTGAGTTGATACATCGCAATAGACTGGTGTGTCGCTATCTGGCAAACTAAGAAGTCGTAATTGCAATGACGAGTTATTTGAATCTAACAACGACTTAAGATGAGTGTCATTTTCCTGTGACTTCGCAAGAGATTCCCAATCAAGGCCTTTACGAACGCTCTCTATACGTGAAAGTGCGTCGGCTGGCACGTTGTCTTCCCCACTCACATGACGTATGTCTGTTGAAAATTGACCGATTAAATCCAGGTATCTAAACTGCCTGGGTGAACACTGTTGCTCCTTTTTACGAAATGCATAGGTTATCGGCTTATGGTCAGTAAAAATTACAAACTGTCGTGCTTCAACATAATGCCTAAAATGTTTGACTGCAGCATAGATAGCGAAAAGTTCGCGGTCGTACGCTGAGTACTTTTGTTCGGCCGTAGTAAGCTTTTTAGAAAAGAATGCGATAGGGTGCCAATCGTTACCTACTTTTTGTTGCA